ACCATCTATTGAACACCGCACAAAGAGAAGACCGAGATAATAAGAAACACCGTTTTAAAAAAATACTATCTTTAGTATTTTTTTAAAGACAATTATATTATATTATAATAGGTGGTAATATAATAATTGGTGGTAGAGCCACGCTGCAGTTTTTGCTGTTGCACGTATGGGCCGGCTCGAGTCGGGTTGGTACCACGACCTCACAGAATACCGGGGTGAAGTAGAAGCTCTGCTTCTGCGTTTCGTCTGGTGAGTGCAGGTGGCTGGAGGCCCAATTCCCCCCCCCCCCCCCCATCAACATGGTACCGGAATTACATCAAAGACTACCCCAGGAGGGTACCAGCACCCCTGGAGAATCCCTCGCTGAGCATCCACGACCAAGTTATTCCACTCCTGAGCGTGGGTGCTCAGGCTGCCCCGCGTTTTATGGGGGGGGGGGGCAAAATTCCGCTCAAAACAATAACTGCTCGGGGCAAACTGAGCAAAAATACCAAGGCGACCCCTGCCACGCTATGCGTGAATTTCTGCTACATCAGGGGACTTCACTCGAACCTAAACGCCGTCCACTACCATCTCGAGACGGCGAAGTCGGCCTTGCTCTTTCTGACCGAGACGCAGGTGTCCTCTCCGGCTGATACTTCGTATCTCTCCTGCCCGGGGTACAAATTGGAGCACTCCTTTGTGCCTCGGGCTGGAGTTTGCGTATATGTCAGAGAGGACATCTGTTCTCGACGTCTCTGCAGTCTTGAAGAATCGGACCTGTCCATCCTTTGGCTACGCGTAGACAGCAACGACCATCCGCGCGTCTACGGGTGCCTCTATAGGTCCCATAGCGGTAATGTTGAAACAGACCGAGACCAACTCATCGACCAAATGGCTACAGATTCCTTGCTACAATAGGTCCAATCCGCAGAGATCGTGATCCTTGGCGATTTTAACGCCCACCACGCCAAATGGCTCGGTTCACATTTAACCGATCATGCCAGGAGATCTGTTTATGACTTTGCCTTGGCATATGGTCTGACACAACTGGTTACTTCGCCTACGCGGATTCTCGCCTACGCGGATTCCAGATGTGGAGGATCATACACCTTCCCTGTTGGACCTTCTGCTGACCTCGCGTCCGGACAGATATCAGGTTTCTGTCGATGCCCCTCTCGGCTCTTCAGACCATTGTCTGATCCGGAGTGTGGTGCCACTCACGCTCCCTACGCGGTTGCGTTCTACATAACTTCGCTTCCAGGTCCTTCAAAAGAGTTATTGACAAGGCAAAGTCAGAGCACATAGGCAGAATTGGCGAGAAACTAATTCACCTTCCTTCGGGAACCCGTGCATTCTGGTCTCTCGCCAAGGCTGTCCAAGGGAATTTCTGTAAGCCACCACTACCATCTCTGCACAGGGAGGACTACTCACTGGCCCACGCCGCAAAAGAGACAGCCGACCTTTTAAGCTCTCTTTTTGCGTCCAACTCGACTCTTGATGACAGGGGAAACACACCGCCGAACATCCCGCGGTGTGAGTGCTCCATGCCGGATGTGCGGTTCTTACAGCGCTTGGTTCGTCAAGCATTCCTCTCTTTGGACATCTACAAGTCGAGTGGGCCTGACGGAATCCCCCCAATTGTGCTGAGGACGTGTGCTCCGGAGTTGGCACCGGTTCTAACGCGTCTTTTCCGGTACTTCTACTCCCTAGGCATAGTCCCGAAATCATGGAAGACAGATTTTGTCCACCCGATACCTAAAAAAAGGCGACCGCTCAGACCCGTCCAACTACAGGCCTATCGCCATCACCTCCTTGTTCTCCAAAATAATGGAATCCGTTATTAACTGCCAGCTCATGCGGTACCTTGATGATCACCAGCTGATTAGTAACCGCCAGTACGGTTATCGTCGGGAACGATCAGCTGGTGACCTTCTGGTCTACCTGACTCATAGATGGGCGGAGGCAGTTGAGTCCAAGGGGGAGGCGTTGGCCGTTAGTTTGGACATTGCGAAGGCCTTCGATCGGGTTTGGCACAAAGCGTTTCTTTCGAAGCTCCCTTCCTATGGGCTTCCCGAGAAATTGTGCAATTGGATCACCAGCTTCCTTGCAGATCGGAGCATCAAGGTGGTTGTAGACGGTGCATGCTCTGACTACAAGCCTATTAACGCTGGTGTTCCATAAGGCTGTGTGCTATCACCAACGCTGTTTCTTCTGCATATCAATGATATGTTTTCTTCCTCGCACAAGTTCCTTGTGGAATCGATTAACATCAGCGATTTTTCCGGACCGATACGACTTAAGGACCCTCACAAAAGAGCCTACTTCTTTTTAAAAGGCCGGCAACGCATCTGCAATTCCCCTGGTTCCCCTGGTGTTGCAGTTGTTCGTGGGCGGCGGTAGTCACTTACCATCAGGTGAGCCGCATGATCGTTTGCCCACCTCTCCTTTAAAAAAAAAGACAAAAAAATAAAGACAGTAGTCGAATAGCAGATTCGAACCCACAACCTTTGAGTTCAGTCTGCACTATATTATATCTCCTTCTCTCGCAGGCTAAACCCTATAGATGTATATGTTTGTCTCTTTTTAGTGCCGCTTTTACGTTCCATCGAGTTTCAAATCACAACAATTATTAAGTACTTTTTTCAAAACATATAACAGACTCTACGGCAGTACAGGAAATGAAGGACACAATTAGCCGACTCCGAACGGAATATACCATACTACAGAACGAATTCGACAACATAACATTAGAAAATAACGATCTCCGACAGATAATAATCAAATTGACAAAGGAAAATAAGACGTTGACAGCCTTATGCCAATCTTCACATAACGTTAGCCAAACAATCCAAAGCGCCGAAAAAGGTAATAGACGTTCCAAACCACAGTCAGAAGTATCTTCTCCTCTCACTTCTCACTATCACACTGGTTTTATTTCTCCAGCATATAGAAAAACAGCTGGTTCCAACAACATACCCGTGGCACTCCAACTAAAAATTAACTATGAGTTAGCAACAGCGTTTTGTCGGGACAAACTGAGGGGAGGAACCTGTATCTTAGCCAAACAAAATAGTATCTACAAAGAAATGGAAAAACTAAAAACGTACGCATCACTAAAGAGCTTTGAGGTCTGCGGCATCGAGATGCCTCTACATAAATTAGTGGTTGTATGTGTTTATAGAACACCTACATCTGATCCGAATGTTTTCTTAAACAAATTAGACCTACTATTGCACGACTTATTAAGAAACTGTAAGCCTGATACAAAAATGGTTTTGACGGGTGATTTTAACATCAATACGCTGAAACAGGGAAAAATAACAAATTACCTCCAAGATATTTGTCTAAGTCATAACTTAAAAATGCATATTAATGTACCAACACGCAAAAACTCGTGCATAGACCACATGCTAAGTAATATTATAGACGCTAACGCTACGGTACTACCTTTATACTTGTCCGACCACGATACAGCTCAGTTATTATGTATCCCTGTGCAAAAAAAATTGAAAAACCAAAAACATACACAGTACTTAAAAAGGACTATAGTTGCGAAAATATTTTCAGATTCAAGGAATGCCTGAAAAGCATAACTTGGTTTGAGGTATACGCAGATATGAGTCTGAACTCTGCCTTCAATAACTTTCATGAACTACTGTGCATGTTTTATAATCTGTGTTTTCCTTTAATTAAAATTAAAGTTAGCACTCATAAGAACACACAAGATTGGATTAGCAAAGGTCTAAGAACAAGCTGTAAAACTAAACGGTCACTAAGATGTAATTATTATTAAAAAAAAAACAGCAAGCAATAAAATCAAAAATATAAATTATTCGAAAGTATTAAAAAATTTTATTAATACCGCCAAAAGGATTTCACACATAAAATATATAAATAAAAGTAAAAACAAATGTAAAGCGACATAGAATATAATAAAAAAGGAAATCAATGGCTTAAAATGTGACAATATCATAAATGCAATAAATTTACACAAAAAAACAGTTGACAAATCCTTTTGACATAGCCTCAGCTTTTAATGACCATTTTATTGAATTGACTAATACATATAATCTGACGACAAATAAGACACAAAAAACAACTACTAAGAGCAAAATTATACCAAACACGATGTTTCTTCTTCCAACTTCAAAAGAAGAAGTAAAAAAAGAAATTATGGGTTTGAACAACACCAATTCAGAAGGCTTCGACGGAATCAGTACAAGAATAATTAAAATGTGTACTGATGAACTAGTGCCTGTATTGACGTATTTAATTAATCTATCATTTTCACCTGGTACGTTTCCGGAAGCATTAAAACAATCAGTCATCAAACCATTGTATAAGAGAGGTAAAAAAAATGATGTCAACAATTATCGCCCGATTACTCTTATACCTGTTCTATCGAAGGTGTTCGAGAAATGCATGCACCTGAGAATACTTAATTATTGCAACACATACAACATCATTAATAAAGATCAATTCGGTTTCCAAAAAGAAAAGTCGACAACTCTAGCAATATTTACTCTTGTGCAAACAATACTGACAAAATTAAATAAAGGTTACCTAACAACAGATCTATTTTTTGACTTGTCCAAGGCGTTTGATTTTGTAGACCACGAACTCTTATTAAATAAAATTGAAACGATTGGAATAAGAGGACCTACACTACAGTGGCTATCATCCTACTTGAGGAATCGTTGTCAGTGCGTCACTGTTAATAAAATCATAAATAGCGAACTGATAACATGTTCTTCTACCCTAAAAACTAACACGTGTGGTATCCCTCAGGGAAGTGTGCTAGGTCCACTTATGTTTATATTATACATAAATGACATAACCAGAGTGACTGGTCATAAATGTATCTTGTTTGCAGATGACATATCAGTAATTGTGACATCAGATAAAAATAAATATAATTCAATACATGACCATGAAATTGAAATTAATAATACTATTGACAACATTATTAAATGGCTAGAGGAAAATAATCTAAAATTAAATTTAAATAAATCAAATTTCATACATCATACATTTTAATAAACCCAAACATGATAAACACAATTTTAACCTCAATATCGAAAAGATTAAAGAAATTACACATACCAAATTTTTAGGTGTAACGATAGACCAGGATCTAAACTGGAAATTACATATTGAGACCTTATGCAAGCGTATCAACAGCTTTATTTATGCTCTTTATAAAACAAGGAGCGTAACTAACTTGCAAACAGCTATTACCACTTATCACGCGTATGTAGCCTCCATTCTACGTTATGGGGTGATGATATGGGGTAATAGTACTGAGAGACAAAGGGCATTTGTAGCGCAAAAAAATGCATCAGAGCCATATGTGGGATTCCACCGGGCGAGTCCTGTAGAGCATCTTTTTGGAGCCTGGGCTTACTTCCGTTGCCAGCACTGTACATTTTTGAAATGAGTTGCTTTGTCAAAAGTCATACTGAGCTCTTCCAGAAAGCCAGAGATATAAACTCTAGATTGAAAAGAAATCCGGATAGATTAGTGTTAAGCGTCATTCCGAGATCTGCTAAATTCAGAAAAAGTTGTGTAGCAATGTGTGTTAAGATATATAATAAGATCCCCAATGTCATTAAAAACCTTAAAATGAATTTATTTAAATTGAGACTATATAGGTGGCTTATTGAACTAAAAGAGTACGACATTAAAGAATTTATTGACCTTAGGCTTTAATAATTATTGATTTGTTAATATTAATTTTATGAATGTATTTGACCCTTTTTTTAAATAAATGTAACTTTAAATGTATATAACATAAACTTAAATTTGCATGCTAATTATAAGCAAAACATGTGTACTTATTTTACTGTACCACCTACAAATACCATGTTTTAAGCAAATAAAGAAATTATTATTATTATTATTATTAAAAATAAAATCATTTTGTACTCAGTGTCTCCGTTTTTATTTCACCAGCAAACATTTCAAAATGATTTTTAAACAAATTAATTACAATTACTTTTTGGCCTTTAAAGAGATAATCTCAGTTTACTGGTTCCTATGAAATTCCTCGCCTAAGTTATTAAGTTTAGTACAAAAAGTAAAAATCAAAATAAAGTTACATCTTTACAGCGCAAATCGAGCATTTATTTGCATTCCTCTTGTTGTGTGGGCAAGTCTATCAATTAATTTTAAATATTCAAGATAAATATCGACATTGATATTCATATAGTTGAGACAATCCAATATTTTTTTTGTCAATCAATAAAATATTTTGTTGAAAAATATATTTACCAAAATCATGCAAATTATCAACATTTTTTTTTTCAAAATATAAAAGTTAACGAAATAATGTAAAATATTCTATATTTTAAACAGTGCAACATATTTGTATGTATAATTTATGTTAGTATAATACAAATTAAACATATAGTGAAATTGAACGCTTCCAAAACACAAGCGTGTTTCTTCACACTGCAAAAAGGAACCAGTTCGCTTTGGGGTCTTCTTTCCGAAATGTATCACTGGAATACATCGACCGTTTTCAGTTGTTTGGGGTTGAGATATTCTCAAACCCGAACTTCGCACTGTTCATTGATTCCAAGGCCAAAGCAGCAAGGAAGCTAAGAGTATTTGCGAAGGTACTTAACGACAGTACTTCACGCCGGGACAGCTGCTTACTCTATATAATGAGCAAGTCCGGTCGTGCATGGAGTATTGCTGCCATATATGGGCTGGTGCTATAAAATGCCACCTAGCAGCTTAGGACTCAATGAAAAGGCAAGCTACGAAGATTTTTGGTGACCCGAATCTGATTAAAACTAATATTACTCCTATTAGGCCTCGAACACTGGCGCAAAGTACCCAGCCTTTCAGTTTTCTACAGGATGCATTTCGGAGTGTGCGCAAGAGTTGCATGACTTTATTCCTACCACTCCCTTCCACCATCGGATAATCAGATGTTTGACCAGTCGCCACCTTTCCTTGTTGACTTATCATGCATTCGAACCAAACTGTTTCCTATATCGTTCGTCATGCATGCAGCAAAGGAGTGGAATAAGTTTCCAGCATGTCGTCTTTCCATCCGATTACAATGTGGGTGTCTTCAAGGCAAGAGTTAATAGACTTTTGTTAAGATAGTGTGCTTCACCATCATAGGCTCCATCACCACTTACCATCAGGTGGGATTGTAGTTAAGCGCTGGCTTAGAATAGTAAAAAAAAAAGAATTAGCTTCTTCAGAAAAGCTGCAGTTTCAATAACCACATATGGCACGGAAAGGTTTTTCTACTCGTTCTATAACTTCATAAATAATTCATAAGAAATGGAGTTTTTACTGGAACACTTTTATATTTATACATAAAATACGTTTACATAATATGTACATATTTTATCAGATCTTTCACGAAAAAGGTTATGTTACAGTGTGTATTTTCATATGCTTTTGCATACGTGTTTTTCTTACACATTTCAATTTACAGACATTACACGAATACGGTTTTCTTCCGGTGTGTATTTTTATGTCTTCTCAAGCCAGATTCGTGTATACATTTATATTCACAGATATTACACGAATAAGGTTTTTCACCAGTATGTATTTTTGTATGTGTTTGCAAATTATCTTTTCTATTACATTTATATTCACAGCTATTACACGAAAAAGGTTTTTCTCCAGTGTGTGTTTTACTGTGTTTTCTCAAATCAGATTTGTCTATACCTTTATATTCACAGATATTACACGAATAAGGTTTTTCACCGGTATGTATTTTCATATGCCTTTGCAAATTATTTTTTCTATTACATTTATATTCACAGATATTACACGAATAACGTTTTTCTCCAGTATGTATTTTCATATGATACCGGAAATTACTTTTTTCAATACATTTATAGTCACAGATATCACACGAAAAAGGTTTTTCTCCGGTATGTATTTTCATATGTTGTTGCAATTTATCTTTTCTAATGCATTTATATTCACAGATATTACACGAATAAGGTTTTTCTCCAGTGTGTGTTTTAATGTGTTTTCTCAAATCAGATTTGTGTATACATTTATATTGACAGATATTACACGAATAAGGTTTTTCACCGGTATGTATTTTCATATGCCTTTGCAAATTATCTTTTCTATTACATTTATATTCACAGATATTACACGAATAAGGTGTTTCTCCGGTGTGTCTTTTCATATGTATTTGCAAATGACTTTTTCTATTACATTTATATTCACAGATATTACACGAATAAGGTTTTTCTCCAGTGTGTGTTTTAATGTGTTTTCTCAAATCAGATTTTTCTATACATTTATATTCACAGATATTACACGAATAAGGTTTTTCACCGGTATGTATTTTCATATGCCTTTGCAAATTATTTTTTCTATTACATTTATATTCACAGATATTACACGAATAACGTTTTTCTCCAGTATGTATTTTCATATGATACCGCAAATTACTTTTATCAATACATTTATAATCATAGATATTACACGAAAAAGGTTTTTCTCCGGTATGTATTTTCATATGATGCCGGAAATTACTTTTTATAATACATTTATATCCACAATTATTACAACAGTATACACGTTTAGCCACGTGCGCTTTAAGATGTGCCAAAATGCAATGTTTTTGAGATGTTTTAAATTCGCAAATATCACAATTAAATATTTCCGTTAGTTGTGGTACTGGAGTTTGTTCAACTTGTGTCCTATCTGAGTTCTTTTGGGTCTCATGACTGTATGAAATGTGTTTGGCGAGAATTTCTTTTGTTAAAAATTTTTTGCTACAATGATCACATTCAAAAATATATTTTGTTGATGCCCCAGATGTTTTTTTCGTAAGTATATTTACACTCTTCTTTTTCATAATCTTTGCAGGATGCTTTCCTTTTTTATTAATGGGTTTATAATGTTTTTTCACTTTAGGGTTTGATTTAATAGAAGGGCTTTTCAAATAGAGGTTTTCTTTACGTACATCGCATATGTTGCTGTCAGTAGAATTTGATTTAATCATTTTCTCAGACGGTACTGAAAAATGATTTGTTGGTGTGATGTATTGTTCTGAAATACACACGAATTAAACATTTTATTTATTTTAAGACATAAACAACCGTTGTAAACACCATGAACTGTTTACAATGGGCGGAGTTTATGCCTTATGGCATTCTCTATCAGTTAACCCAGGGAGAAATAGAGAAATTATAATATTTTACATAATAATACTACATGATGTTCCTTGCTATAAAATATTTATGCCAATTACTCTGAATAATGTCTCTTTGGAGGGAAAGAATGGTAGAGAAACTAAATTGATAATGATGACGTTCTTCTGACCGTGTTATTATTACATTAATCTAATAATCGCTGTTTCGAATTCCACACAGAACTAGCGTTATAGATACATACATATTAATGTATATATGTATAACACTGAGGCTCCCAAATGATGGAGGTATACCGTCTTATTTACGCCAGCAATATGTCTGGTGCTGCGATCGTCAATCCTTTTTGCGAAGTGTGATGGACCCATGCCAGGCATTGTACTTTTATGGGCTAATCAAGTATAAATAAAATAGAGATATGGCGTCCCGAAATAGTCGTCCATACTGTAAGTTGTGTATCGCTAGCAACGCAAAGTCGGGAATTTGTATTTGGAAAAATCCAAAATTAGGGGCTTTTTGGTGCTAATTAAGTACCAAGTTTAAAAATTAGGTGCTCTAAAATTTTCACCGTAACGATCGATTGAAATTTGCGTTGCTGGCAAAACGTATCGCTGGCAAGATATACTAGATATACGATAAACATTAATAGTAAGGAATTAAGTGTTGATTAAGTGCTGAGCGATTATCGAAACCCGATACAGATTAAGATATTATTCTGGGAATTTGGGGTCCACGACCACCATTACCTTACCATAATGTATGAACGGTATTTTTTGTTATTTGTCAGTACCTAAAAATGAAATGCTAATTAGGTGCTGAAAGATTATTGAGGTCGCATGTAAATGACGGTAATATTCTGGAAATTATCGGATTCAAAACCACAATTACTATAAGGTATGAACGGCATTTTGTTTTTTAGATAATCTATAATATTATTTAATATAATTTTCAACTAAATAAATGTTACTATTCTTATTTTTAGACAGGTGAAGCCTAAACTTTAGTGTACTAAATCGAAAGGATATTTTATTTCCAGTAAATTGCTTTGTAATAAATAGCGCCATCTACAACGTTCTATAGTTCTAGTCATTTTATCGAATCAAAATCGATGGACTATCAAGGTGGTAAGTACGATAGACGCTAGATGGCACAAACACAAAGACCTGATTTTGCATTTGGTTTACTGAATAATTTTCTGAATAACGATTTTATTTTTATCTGGGGCGCCTTGTCATTGCGTATACTTGCAGCACCTAATTAGCACTTAATTCCTTGCTATTATTATTTATCGTATATCTAATAACTTCATTGCGTTGCTAGCGAGACGTTTTGCTAGCAACGCAAATTTCAATCAATCGTTACTATGAAAATTTTAGAGCACCTAATTTTTAAACTTGTACTTAATTAGCACCTAAAAAGCCCCTAATTTGGGCTTTTTCTAAAAGCATTTTTGATTATTTCCTGATTTTCAGAAAATCTGAATTTTGCATCTGCTTTGTTGGGAATAACGACTTTATAGGGCGCCTTGTCATTGCATATACTTGCAGCACCTAATTAGCACTTAATTCCTTGCTATTAATATTTATCGTATATCTAATAACTTCAATGCGTTGCCAGCGATACGTTTTGCCAGCAACGCAAATTTCAATGGTTCGTTGCGGTGAAAATTTTGGAGCAACTAATTTTTAAACTTGGTACTTAATTAGCACCTAAAAAGTCACTAATTTGGACTTTTTCTGAAAGCAATTTTGATTGTATTTTGATTTTCAGGAAATCTGAATTTTGCATCTGCTATGTTCTGAATAATGACTTTATTTTTATTAGGGGCGCCTTGTTATTGTGTATACTTGCAGCACCTAATTAGCACTTAATTCCTTGCTATTAATATTAATCGTATATCTAATAACTTCATTGCGTTGCTAGCGAGACGTTTTGCTAGCAACGCAAATTTCAACAGTTCGTTGCGGTGAAAATTTTAGAGCACCTAATTTTTAAACTTGGCACCTAATTAGCACCTAAAAAGCCCCTAATTTTGGATTTTTCCAAATACAAATTCCCGACTTTGCGTTGCTAGCGATACACAACTCATACTGTATCTTTGTGACACTTCTTTTGTATAAAATAAGGGTGACAAACGAACGCACAGTCCGCCTGATGGTAAGTGGTCGCTGTGGCTCATAGACATCTACATCTGTCTTCATTTGCGAATCAAAATGCAGATGCGTTATCGCCTGTGAGGAATAAGATGGAATGCCTCTTTTCCAGTAAAAAGGGTCTCCGGTTCTCTACACTCACCATACGAAATACAGCAGCATTAAGCTGCTATTATACGCTGGTATTATGTGAGAACGTGGTCTTTCCCCGGTCGACCCATTCGTGCTACAACTATACAATTAATATGGCAGCAGCATGGCTCTACCACGTCCAAAATTATGTCTACGCGAACACTACACATTTAAATGGAACTAAGTTTTACGGATTTTATCGAGTACGAGGGTAGAATTGAGCAGTTGGAATTAATCCGAACAATTCGTCTGAGTAGTAACTCCCCGAGGTATATATCTACTGAAGAAGATGCATATAGATGCAGCGTCTATTCGCAAGGTCAGTGGATCAAGCCGATACCGGAAAAACTTGAATACCGTCAAGTAGAAGGAGTTAATACTGGGTGCCCCAGCCCAGACATGAGAATATTATTCCATATGGGACCGAACCAGCACTGTGTGAAGCTGTAAGTGGTGAGCCGGCATGAAATACCGTCTCGATCTACTGAGCACACCAAGCATTTTTGATACCACTTAAGCATTCCCCTCCAAGTAAACGCCAAGGAATACGATGCTGGCTGAGGCAACGGGGGAAGTACCCTAAAATTGAGAAAATACGACAAACGGGTTCTCTTTTTTCCAGTAAACGCGCAGACCTGTGTCTTTTGGGAGTGAAACTGGACTAGATTTAGTCGCCCTCAATCCGAAACTTTAATCAACAAAGACTCGACTTCAGACACAAGTTTGTTCCGGGCACTCGACGACGTGTTCCCGAGAAATATTAGCTGCATAACAATAAACTTTACTAGTATGTTACATATCATTGACATGCAGAAGGAACAGAGTAGGCGATAGCACGCAGCCTTGTGAAACATCAGCATTCACAGGCTTGGAGTCGGAGCATGCCCCGTCGACTACGACCTTAAATCTCCAATTTGTAAGAAAACTTGAGACCCAGTGGCATAATTTCTCGGGAAGCTCATAAGAGGAAAGCTTCGAAAGAAGCGCTTTGTGCCAAACTCTCCAAATAACCAAACTAATGTGAATAATATTTACAAAAATTGACTGAAAGAGCAGGAGGAAAAAAAGGAAAAGTCTGTAAATAAAGGAACACCCAAGGGTTCCAAAAACAAAATTACTACAAAAAAATCTGTAGTAAAAAAGAAAGTTTCTACCGAAACTGGTGGCCAAGTCTAATCGAGCAATGATGCGGCAGACAAGGCAATATCTTATAATCGCGAACCAGAATGCGAAGAGTCTCAAACAATTTTTTTTAAATAACATAAAAAATAGCTCAAATACACGAAAAACCGAAAAAGCATAAAGATGTCATAAAACTAAGATAAAGAAAAAAAAAGTGTCGTGAAGATAAGAAGTTTGAAAATAGAACGATTAACGGAAAGCTTCTTCTGAAAATAGCATGCGTGCAAAGAAAAAAGAAGAAGTTCGATGAAAATGAATTAGAACGAAGGATACTGAACAAGACCTCATGAAGCAACATGGCTGCAGCTTTGCTCTACCACGTGAAAATGTAATGTTCTGCAGATTAAAATCCATCTGTAGGACATTAATTTAATGACAATTAAGGTCACGTTGGCTATCAACGGATACTAGCCACCTGCGCAAGTGCAGCACAAGCACAAGTGCACTCTGTATTACCACTCTCTCATAGCCCGATGGGACGGTACACGACACGACCGGAGAGAGATCGGGTGTACGACCAACGGCTTACGTGCTTTCCGAGGCACGGGTTGACACACTGCCAATTTCCTGACTCCGGGCTGCTACTGGAAATTCTTGACATAAAAATCCAACAACTGATTTTGGTCTAACGCAGGAGCTCATGACTAGCAGCTGTACTTACAACAACTCTCTCAGACATGTTAATAGCCCTTACAACAATTCAGTGAATCCTCTTTCCGGTTTTATCTTACCACCACCTCTCACCACTCACTCACCACTGGCGAATTCAGTTCTTGCATGAAACAAGATACTTGTATGGCCTACAAATAATCAGTTGGCTTCTAATGTTTGTTCATGTGTAATTAAAGGACAATATAGTACCTCTCTAACTACATGATCCAACAGAAATTTCTAATGTGATGTTTATTTTATTTTTTATACAGGTATTTTAAAATAAATTCTTTTACCTATGTCATCATCACCTTTTTCACTCTTTGAACCAAATGCAATTAGTGACAAGTCTTCTTCCAAATCCGTATGTCTACCTTCAAAATCATCAATCTCCAAGTCTTCTTGTTTTTCAGCAGTCTCTAGAATGAAACAGATTCTGACACAATAAATAAAATAAGAACATATTTTTTCCAAGAGACTACATCATATCAGTCCATCACCCAGCTTATGGGCCTGAGCCACCCACTTTCATTATCATATTGTATGTTTCATAAGCTAAGTGTAATACATAGGCTGCACTAAAAGTATCGGGAATGGAATATTTCCACTGTTCCTGTCATATTAAAATCTTTTTAACTGAAAACTCCTTGGATTTTTTAAAATCGAATACCATTTATTTATTTAAAAAAAGATTGTCGGTCTTATCACAAGGTTTTGTCAAACTTGTTTAGTCGTTGAGAAAATGGAATTGACTCGAGAAAATTCAAGAGCGATGATTTATTATGACTTTCGAAGTGGTTTAACACAAAAACAGTGTGTTGACCGGATGATTTCTGCACTTGGTGATGAAGCCTCATCCAAAACCACAATTTATCGCCGGTTTGCTGAATTTCAACGTGGACGTGTCAAGCTCAGTGATGATCCCCGTCAAGGTCGTCCAAAAACTGAGGTCACCCAAGAAAACGTTGATGCTGTGCGTAAGCTGATTGAGGAAGATCGACATGTGACATACCGCGAAATTCAGACAACTTTAGACATTGGCATGAGTCAAATACAAATAATCTTGCATGAACAATTAGGTGTAAAAAAGTTGTTTTCCCGATGGATACCGCATTCGCTCTGTGAAGAGCAAAAAGCGGCTCGCGTTACTTGGTGCGTCAGAACTCTCGAAAGATTCCACGCAGGATCCTCAAATGCTGTATACAACATCGTATCAGGTGACGAATCCTGGATATACGCGTACGAACCCGAAACAAAAAACCAGTCACGAGTTTGGGTGTTCGAAAATGAGTTAAAGCCAACAAAAATTTTTCGTTTACGGAGTGTTGCAATAAAAATGGTGGCCACGTTTGTCTCCATAACCGGCCATGTTACGACTATTCCTCTTGAGGGACAAAACACGGTTAGTGCAGAATGGTATGCTAGCATTTGTTTGCCACAGGTCGTTTCTGAACTCCGTAAAGAGAACTGATGATTATGATAATTCATTCACCTCATTTAGTGAGTGTTCTGCCACAACTTGATTTTAGTAGGAAAGTGCTTGCCAGTACAAGAATGCCTTGGGCACCTTTTCTCCATATTTTTTCTTAGTACAAAGTGACAAACAAACAAACATTTCACCTTATGGTATGTAGCAGATCCACCTGATGGTAAGTTACCCACTTCAGTCCATGGACTGCCTGCAGCTAACTTCCATCATTAAAGACTACAATGCGCTGTCACCTCTGACAACTAAGTTATACTTAATATTCTGACTCTACCCATCAGAATGGAACTCAGCAGTGCACGCACTGCTATTTGACAGCAGAAATTAGTAAGAGGAAGGAGGAATCTATGTTTTGTACGTGGTAGAGCCACGCTGCAGCTATATTATGGTTGTAGCACTAGTAGGTCGGCTCAAACGGGGAAGGATCATGCTGTCACAGAATACCAGCGTAAAATAGCAGCTTAATGCTGCTCCTTTTCATATGGTGAGTGTAGAGAACCAGAGACTCTTTTTACTGTAAACCAGGCATTCCATCATAGTCCTCGGGGTGACAGTGCAATGCACAGTCCACACCATCCACTTACAATTAGGTGTACTGTGTGCTTGTTTGTCATCCCCATTCTATAACAAAAAAAAATGTGCATAGGTACACCTAAATTGACTCCTAGACAAAAACGGAGTCCCATCACCATAAGGACACTATGGAATTGGCAAAGATGAAGAAGGTGGTTGCTTACCACTTGTAAGTATATCATTAACCGGTTCAGTGCGGGTGACACGCGAGTCGTGTCTTTTTAAAAATCGTTATAACTCGCTCAAATTGCTTTTTTGGAAAATTTATCCAGAACAAAATATTCATTATTTTGCGAGTAGTTCATGCATGCAGCTTCGTTTCTAGATATTTTGAAAATTTGAAATTTTTAGGGGTTGACAACCTTTTTTTAACGTGTACATGGTACTATTTTTACTTTGTGGGTTTTAAATCATGTTATGGAAAAATTGTCTAATAAGTAACAAATAATAGCACTCATTGCGATCGCTCACAAATTCAAGTTGTAAATAAATTTCTGGAAAACAAGTCTCCTGTTAAAAAAACCAATGCAAAGTACCATGTGCTCTTGTGATATGGTATAAGATTTATTTTTGCTTCAAACAGTTCGAAACCGTTCATGCATAAAAAAAGTTCGCTAATAAATAGTATCTTGTCAATCCGCCGCCGTATAGCGCCGGCGTTTTTTTCCTTTTGAAAACACTTGTTTTGCTATTCTTACTAATTAGACGTTTTCAATAGGAGTCCATAAGAGCAGACATAGGTTATATGATCTTTACCATGAAAGGTCATATAATCATAGCGTCGAATTTAGGGAATATGTGAAAAAATATTCAAAAATATTTAAAAGAGTGTGCTCCACAGCCAAGTCTTTGCATTTGAGCAACAAAATTAAGACGGCTTCTAATAAAATTAAAATGACATGGAGTATAATTAATAGCGAAACTGGTAAGATCAACTCTCGCAATTCAAACTACCAGTTAAGTGTTAGTAACAAATTAACCGAATCAGATCAGGACGTTGCAATGGTTTTTGAGAAATATTTTACTGATATTCCGATATTAACCACTAAGTCACTGAATTCTTCTCCTGCGGTCGCCGAATTATTACTTAAACAAAATGTAAATGCGTGTACAAAGAATTTTGCATTTCATAAAGTATCATCAAAAGATATTGTAAAATATTTTAAAACTATTGATGTTAAGAAAACTGTCGATCTGTGGGGGATTTCCGTTAAAGTTATTGCGTCTATAATAGATACAATCGCGCTTCATTTAGCTATTATTTTTAATCATCATCATCATCATCATTACAGCCCTTCACAAGTCCACTGCTGAACATAGGCCTCCCCCAAAGAATGCCACAAAGCACGGTCCTGAGCCACCTGCATCCATCGACTTCCTGCATATCTTACCAGGTCGTCACTCCATCTAGTGGGGGGACGCCCTACACTTCGCCTGCCGGTACGAGGCTGCCACTCGAGAACCCTTCCTCCCCATCGGTTGTCGGTTCTTCGAGCTATATGGCCGGCCCATTGCCACTTCAGCTTACTAATCCGTTGGGCTATGTCGGTCACTCTAGTTCTACTGCGGATATCCTCATTTCTGAGTTTATCACGCAGAGAAACTCCGAGCATAGCCCTCTCCATAGCTCGCTGAGCGACCTTGAGCTTCCTCATCCGGCCAGCAGTGAAGGACCACGTACCCCCCATGAGCAATGACAATAATTATTTTTAATGCTAGTATCGAATCTGGTGTGTTTCCTGAATTAATGAAGTATAGTAAAGTAATACCTTTATTTAAATCTGGTAGTACATTAGATCCCGCCAATTTTAGACCTATTTCTGTACTACCAACACTTAGTAAGATTTTTGAAAAAATTATTTTTGATCAAATGTTAAATTTCTTTAATATAAATAATTTACTTCATAAAAATCAATTTGGTTTCACAAGGGGTCGCTCGACAACTGATTCCGGTGTTGAGCTGATTAAATATATATTTAATGCATGGGAGAATTCACAGGATGCTTTGGGTATATTTTGTGACCTATCCAAAGCCTTCGATTGTGTTCACCATGAAACATTAATCAGGAAACTTCAACACTACGGTGTAAGAAGTGATGCTCTTAAATTAATTATTTCATATTTAAGTAAGAGAACGCAAAAAGTTGTCATTAACAGTATGAGTTCTTCCGGGTCGATGGTACAAATAGGCGTGCCTCAAGGCTCAATTCTCGGCCCCTTTCTGTTTCTTGTATACATTAATGACTTACCTTACATAGTAGGAGATAACCATGATATAGTATTATTTGCAGATGACACTTCTTTAATTTTCAAATTAAGTCGACAATTGCTAAAATATGACGAAGTAAATAATGCTATATCTAAATTAGTAAATTGGTTCAATGTTAATAATTTGCATTTAAATGGCACTAAAACGAAATGTATGAAATTTATGACTCAAAATGTCAAACAATTAAATACTAATGTAATTTTAAATGGGGAGAAACTGAGACTTGTATATACCACCATTTTTCTTGGAATCACACTAGACGCGAAGCTTCAATGGAGCCCCCATATATCAAAACTAGCAAGCAGACTTAGTTCTGCAGCATATGCCGTAAAAAAGATTAGAAGTCTAACTAGTGTTGAAACAGCTAGACTAGTTTACTTTAGCTATTTCCATAGCATAATGTCGTATGGTATTTTGCTATGGGGACACGCAGCTGACACTGAAATTATATTTGTTTTACAGAAGAGGGCCATAAGAGCAATTTATGATTTAAAGCCTAAAGAGTCGCTGCGGCAAAAATTTAAGGAAATTAATATATTAACTTTGGCCTCTCAATACATTTATGAAAATGTAATGTACGTACACAAAAATAAAAGTAGTTTTACAAAAATAAGTGATATTCATTCTGTAAATACTAGGAACAGACACAAGCTAGTAGTACTAGTTACTTGACTCCATCGAGTCAGTAATTTATTCTTGGGGCGATGTATACGCTTTTACAACAAAATTCCAGAAAATATACAAAATTTGACCTGCTCAACGTTCAAAAACTTTATTAAACTAAGTTTGTATAAAAAGGGTTATTATAATATTAATGAATTTATAGATGATAATAACCCCTGGAAATGAGGCGATCGCTACCAAGCTATTTCTAATTTATTGTGTTGTTAATTTGTGTAACATACATGATTGTAAGCTGTTATTTTAAAAAAAAGTCCCGCTGGGTTTCTTGCTGGTTCTTCCCAGGACAGAGGTTTTTTTTTCGAACCAGTGGTAATCATACAAAAGAGTGACTTTCAATAAGTATTATTTATAATCTATATTGAATAAAAAAGTTTCTGTTTCTGTTTCAGATCGACTTTACTTTTAACATTTGTATAACATTAAATAATATTTAATATTTGTAATAGAATAGAATAGAATAGAATGATTTTTATTCAATATGGATTATTACATAATACTTATTGAAAGTCATTATTTTATTTACCACTGGTTCGGAAAATACCTCTGTCCTGGGAAGAACCAGCAAGAAACCCAGCGGGACTTTTTTTTTAAACATAATTTCACTTAACAATAATTTTGTTCATACAATTTTAAATGAATTTTCATAGAACCAGCATGGTGGCGATCACCTTATTCCCAGGGGTTATTTTCATTCATGTATTCCTTGATATTATAATAACCCTTTTTGTACAGTTTTTCTTTAATAAAACTTTTAAACTTGTTTATTGACAAACTTTGAACATGTTCTGGGATTCTGTTGTAAAAGCGTATACATTGCCCCATAAATGAATTACTAATTCTGTGGAGTCTTGTAAGTGGCATTACAAGCTTATGTTTGTTCCTAGTGTTTAAGGTATGAACATCCTTAATCTTATTAAAGCTATTTATGTTTTTATGTACATACATTACATTTTCATAAATATATTGCGATGCCAAAGTTAATATGTTTATTTCTTTAAATTTTTCTCTAAGGGACTCTTTACAATTTAGATTATAAATCATCAGATAGTAAATATCAATGAATGAGATATACCTTTTTTTTTCAAATTAAGGTTCTTCATTGTTTGATATTTGCAAATGTTATTATTAGGTGAAATTTAATTTAATAAAAACCAAGATTTAGCTGTACCTACTTATATAAATGATTTTTTTATAACAACAAAAAATAGTACAAAAGGTTTGTAATCTCTTCATAAAAAAGTCACTTTCTCTCAATTTCAAAGAAAACGCCTAAAAAAACACGTAGTTACCCACTAAAAACAAGTATCCTTCCATTTGTAACTTATGTTTGATGTCAAATAAACTTAATTAGGTCTAAGCAAGTAACAAAAGCATAAAAAATAACATTACTTTTACACATGGCGGATGGCACAATAGGCGTGTCATTTTTGTCTGTGGCGCTCGACACGCCCGGCCTGTCATGAAATATTTGTTTGCCGCGTCAGCTAAAAGTTGTCGAAAATTGGTGCCGAAACGAATCGTTTAATTCCTATGAAATTAATACATCTTAATGACATTCATACCGGCTGCATTTATACAGGGTCAAAATATTTTTAAAATATGTTAATACATAAGTTAAAAAAATGTCTAAAGAAGATCATTATTATGTCCATACATGCTTATCTTTTAAATAATTATTTAACTTGTAATATTTTTTCTCCATAAGTGTTTTTACATGCACTTGTACTCAGTACATTGCATATGAAGCCCTCTTTATTTTGTGTCCATAGGCTACAGTAACTAATTTTTGTTATATTATTAAAATAGGAACAGTTTATATGTAATGTAAAATCCTATTTTAATAATATCACAAAATGTGTATTTCTTACCTGTTTCATGATTCCAATTTTCTTCAAAGTTGGAATTGTCATTTTCGAAATTCTCTTCCTCAACTTTAACAGATTCAAGACTAAAAGTTTCGTCTTTACAATCACTTTCTATATCACACTCTACTGGCCAGATATCTATATGACAAATTGGTGTGAATTGAATCTCATCTCTTGCCTCATGTGGTTTTGATATTGACTGAAACCATATTCTTTTTTTAAATAATAGAAAAAGCCAGTGTAGTTGTGGGGTAGGAGAACTCATACTACCCCATGCCATCGTGCAGATGTCGTAAAAAGGGGCAGAGGGAAACTGAAACAGGAGATCGGGGGGCAGCATCTTCCTGACAACAACTACAAATAATAATAAACACAGGACAAAAGTGAGGGTTCCGAATAATCTTAAATAAGAATGTAGATAGTTCATCCATCCCGAGAATCGAGTCTCAACAATTTTTGGATACAGATTCACAAATGCCATCAATTGACAAAGATCTACCTTTGTTTATTGAGTAATATTAATATTTCGTTTATATACAATAGGGTAATAGATAAAAGTACAAACAGTTCGAGAATTATTTTTGTAAAAATAAGTACTTAACTTACTGAAACTCATAACATATAGAACATTCCTCTAACAAGAAAGTAAGTTGGATTGAAGTATAAACTTAACTTTGAACTAGAAAAAACATTCTCCCATATGGCAATGGGAAGCAGCATAACAGCATAGCAAACAGGTAGTTATCGTCAAGGTGCCTGCCAAGTGATGACTAATGCAAATACTTCATTATAATGGGAATGGCCCATCAAGAAGTGAACTTTTATTAATAAGAACTATAATACAGTGGATTGTGTAGTAACATAAGAATATCCACTATCCTATATACCTACCCACGGGATGGGTGTCGTAAGAGGCGATAGATGAAAACTGAAACAGGAATCGGGCAACACCATCTTCCTGATGACAACTCCGACTAATAAACTGCGGTTGCCAACTTGCCAAGCGTGGCAAATTTGGCACAATCTATGAGTAAGGCCTATGTACAGGAGTGAACTTATAGTTTTCAATGGATAGAATGGATAATACCATGGACCCTCCTGCAAGCAACTGCTCCAAAACTGCATTTGACTCAATAGCCTGTTGTTGTAATCTTCTGCAACGAATGAGTCTTGCATGACAGATGAAACAGACAATTATGGGCCCCTCATTCTCATTGATCTGAAAATATGAAAGTTCGTAATAAATATGGAACATTTCTTAAATATATAAGTTTGTAATAAAATCTATTGGCTACCAAAATTCACTTCATCAACATCAATTTTCACAATATTGAAGACAAATAAACTTACATAATGGTAAGTAGCCAAAATAATACATATAATAACACCTGTAATGAACTTCAAGCAAAGGCTACACATGTGATGTTACCTCTGAGGACTAAAATGTAACATATCACAGCCTGTTATTAGACTGGCTCTCAATGTCCTTCACACTGGGACACATACTGCTGGTTGGTGCCAGAAATAGGTAAGGAGAGTGATATCTACCCAGATAGACTTCTAGGCAGAAAAAAGTCCAACCCCCTAATGAATCATCATCATCACTGGAACAACACAGTTCTCAGCCTTTTACATCCATCAACTAAGTGGCTTTAAGTAACTGAACGACTTAACCAGGGTTAAAATAATAAATATTAATTTTTATGTACTAGAACAGGCACCGGGAACAAAATCTATGCAGCAGTGAGGGTTGCGTGGAAGGAGGCACAGGGCATCTTTTTAATACACAGACTCAGTTAGTATGAGCCCGCGGGCTCTAAAGCGTATTGCAAACAAAGTCTCGGCGTATCTTCAAGTACTTAAATAATAATACTGATTTTAGTGCGACGCAGGATACCAGGCTAATTGTTGTTTTTCAGGTTCTAGTTGTATTTGTCACTATATTTAACGCTGCACCTTAGCCTAGCTCCTATCTTTCGCATTTTATATCAGGCGTTATAATATATTTCTCCAGCGATAACGACAAATTACAACAACTTCAATAATTAGCAATATCAAGAAACATTAAAAAACTTACAATACTGTTAATCAATGTCTTATATAAATTTAGGAGGCCAGTCTTCTTTAGTACAAGCATGCGTAGATTAACGCTTAAACAAATTCTACAAATTTCACTAAAGGCCATTCCTGTTTTCTATAGCTTTATAATTAAAAATTAATTATTAAAATTATAAATTAAAATTCCTGTAGTCCTGTACTTGTTACATATATATTTATCTATGGTCCTGTACAGTTACTATCACAAACTAGGCTTGGGCAAAAAATATCGATATATTGAAATATCGATATTTTTATATAAAAATATCAATATATATCGTCGATTTTACATCGCAATATTTAGATATATCGATATTTATTTTAAAATGTTGTATCGTTTTTTTCGTCGTCCAACCGTCTGTAAATAAAATTTTACCTTATCTTTTCATCATGCAAATGTTGACGATATATCGATATTTATCACGCAATATATAGCGATACTGTTTAAAAATATAGATTCGATATATATCGATATATTTTTTTCCCTTGCTCATCCCTATCACAAACTATATAGAAACCATAGACTAATATATAATACTGGAGAATAGAAACACTTATTAATATACTCCACAGACTAATATGATACTAACTTTGATTAAAATCTTTTTTTTCTCCCCTTTTTGGCCTGCACGGTTTGTGCGTCAGCCATGCAAAAAGTTTAGGAAGTAAGATTTATTTTATTGAATTGGAAATTGGAACGGAATTTGGAAAAGGATTAGGTAAATTTAGTATATAAGTACATAAATGATTATAATTTTATATTGTTAAGAAAAATGAAACTAGCTAAAATTCTATATACATCAATATTTACATAATATAAAAGGACAGAAATTGAAGTAGAAAAAGGAATTTTAATGGACAAAAGCAAGGAAATAAAAGCGGAAGCGTCATGTCGAGGACAAGCAAAGAATATTTGGTTAAAATCCCCAACGTCATTGCCACACTCACATATTATATCGCTAGGCAAAAGTTTAAGCCTTGCCAAATGTAAGGGAATGCATGCATGGCCCAGCCTCATACGAATAAGGGTCGAAGTGATAGCTTTACCAAACGTCAGATTTGAAAACCACGGTTTAGGAGGTATATCTACCTGGATCGTGCTATAATATCGACCTATAGTCTGACTTGAAGAACGCCAAATGTGTGTCCAAGAATTCAATAACTGGGAAGATTTAGGAAGGAGAGCCAAATCACAACAAAAGTTTTTGTAGGGAATTAGGTCTCCGTCATTGACTGCAGCTTTGGCAAGGCTATCAGCCTTGGTATTGCCAAAGATACCTGAGTGCCCCGGAATCCAAGCAAAAGAAACTGTGTAATTTTTGATGCAACATTGATACAATAAATCACGACATGCAATAATAACTGGATGATTTCCATTATTGCTAAAAGGAAATCTTTCCAAGGCTTGGAGGGCACTTTTAGCATCGGTAAAAATTATTGAGTTTTTTAACTTCATGATTAAAATGTACTCCAGAGACTTCAACAGACCAAAACATTCTCCAGTAAATACTGAAGTCTCTGGAGGCAATTTTATTTTCTGTATAATGCCAAACTGTTGATGGAAAACGCCAACTCCCACACATTCCTCGGAACCGGGTTTGGAAGAATCACTAAAAATTAAATGGAAATGTATGGAGTGTAGAGAAGAAGGAGGACCATCTCTGTATATGAAAAGTGTCCCTAAAAACGTGTCCAATAAGGGTGGCGCTGCAGTAGCATAGCATAAATTAAAAAAGAAGCGCCAACATTATTTAGAGTAAGATGGAGAAATAAATAAGGACCGATCAATCCGCTTGGTTTTGTACTACGTAAATAGTTGAGATTTTGTATATTGGCGTTTTACTAACTACTCTAGTCATGAAATATTTGAATTCAGCTGACTTCACTCCGTTCATAACAGCTATCTTCATATCGTAGTTTTTCAGACGCCAGCGCTATTGTAGTAGGTTTTGGAACCTCTATTTACAGTAAATAGTAGGACACTTTTTCAACCTTCGCTCCTTATAAGATGGTTCTCCTTCTACTCTACACTCCATATGGAAATGTTTCCATTGGCTGTCACTGTCAACAATATCAATAAATTTGGCGTTGGCAGAAGGATCTTGTTTACATACGCCGAAATCAAACAAAATAGATGGTTTTAAAATTAAGGCATCATAGTTAACATAAAATATAGGAAGGAATTGTGATCTATGTGTTGGAGCTAGAAGAGCTAAGAATTTTTGGAGACTAACAATAAGGCATGGCGGCGATTTATGAGCCCAGTACGGATAGTCTATACATTTCAACAGAGACTGTAACTTAGAGTAAAGAGGATGATTATAGACTTGGAATGCTCTAAACAGGAACTTGTCACAAAGAAATTGTCGTCTGAGATGCAGGGGCGCTTCAGAACATTCAACCTGCAAAGCGTTAATAGGGCTCGAACGCATAGCCCCAGCAATTATTCTCAGAGCCTTAGACTGGATAATGTCTAACTTATGGAGAGCTACTGCATTACAGGGTTCAAGAATAAATGTTCCATAGTCTAAAATACTCCTTATTAGGGCATTATATAGAAGCTTTAGAGAGAAAGAGTGGGCTCCCCACCAAACTCCAGAGAGGCAGCGCAGTATATTTAGAATCTTCTCACATTTGGCACTTATATAGTAGCAATGAGGGATGCCTGTAAGTCTCGAGTCTAAAATTACCCCAAGAAATGTTGCTTCGCTTTTAACGGGAACTCTAATGTTATTATAAAATACAGACACTGGAGGAGGAAGCCTCATACGTGAAAATAAGACTATACTACTTTTAGGAACCGAAAGGCTTAGACAGTTATTGTCAAGCCAAACTTTTAGCAACTTAAGGGAATATGTCATAGTATCAGACATGTTGTCTACAGAATCACCAGAGACATAGAGGAGTAAATCATCTGCATATTGGAGTGTGTTAACTTTACGCTTAAGGGAGGCTTCCAGATCATGAGAATATATATTGTAAATTAAGGGACTTAAAACTGAGCCCTGGGGTATACCTTTCCAGGCAATACGGGATTGGTAGGAGTCTTCTGATATTACTTTAAGCATTCTACCAGAGAGAAGATTGTGAATCTTATAAAAAATTGTGGGATATTCAAATTAATCATTTTTTGTTTCAGAATTGAAAGGTTGACATTATCATAGGCTGCAGATACATCTAAGAATGCTGCTAACACAGACTTATTGTACGAAAATGCCAATCTTAAGTCTGTCATAAAAATGCTGAGACTATCCATCGTACTCCTACCTTCCCTAAATCCAAACTGGTTTGGAGATGGTAACCTCTTACTCTTAATAAACCATTCTAGCCTATTTTTAACTAAACGTTCGGAAATTTTGGAAATAACTGAAGCTAATGCAATTGGTCTGTAAGATGATGGATCATTAATCGGTTTGTAGGGCTTATGTATTGGGATAACTTCATGGATTTTCCATGATGGAGGAATATTACCTGACATTAAAATTGAATTAATTAAACTAAGAAAATAAAAAAGGCAGGAGTCGTTCAGGTTTTGAAGAAAAGAATATGGGATTCCATCACAACCTGGGGCTGAGTCCCTAAGTTTTGAAAGAACCCCTTTGAGTTCTGAAAGGCTAATGGAAATAAATGAATCGCTACTATCATGCTGAGAGAGGAGAGAAGGCTGTGGGTCAGAAGAAATATTATCTATAGATAGGACAAATGGTGGAGCTAATTTGTTAAGAAACAAATCAACTGTACTGCTATCCATAAAAAGAGACCTTGGAGGCTTAAAAGCTGATCTGAATCTACGAATATTTTGCCAAACTTCAGATGGAGAAATGTCTGGTGAAATTGAGGCACAAAAAGATTTCATAATTTTAATAATTTACGTGTTTTAGTTATAAGATTACAAAGAATATTAAAATGTTGTGTTGTAGAATTTTTTCTGTAATTTTTTTCAGCTATCTTTCTCTCAGCTATCGCAGAAGAACACTCACTGTCCCACCAAGGAGGTTATGGAATATACCCATTGCCACTATTATTTTTTATAGGAAAAACTTCCTCAGCAGCTTGTAGTAGGGCCCGTGTAAAAGCTTCAGCACAAAGATGATTATTGTTGTCATTTAGTGAAGGTATAGTTGATAAATTTTGTTAAACTTTATCTCTAAATAATGACCAGTTGGCATCCTTAAGTCTATATTTTAGCCGGGGAGGAGCTTTAGACATCTTTTCGCCAATTTTTTGAGGAAATGATATAATTAGCGGAAAGTGATCGCTTCCATATGACGACGATAGACGCCACCAGTTTAATGTAGGAGCTAGGGAGGGACTACACAGGGTAAGGTCTGGTGCACTAATACCCTCATGGGGCTGAGTTCTAGTAGGACAACCAGAGTTTAGAAGGCATCAATTATTATTATCTAAGATGTCTAAGATTCTAGCCCCATAATGATCAGACTTAGAACTTCCCCACATAGAATGTTGTGCATTGAAGTCTTCCATGACCAATATAGGGTGTGGGAGGGAAGATAGAATGCTACGAATATCGTCAAAGACTTCAGTGGAAGGGTGAGGTATATACATATTTACAAAAAAAAAATATTATTTACACTAACAGCAATAATTGAAAATTTATTACTGTGATTAGGTATAAGTATGTGGACAAAGGGCACACCGCCCTTAAGAATTAGTGCAACTCCACCATACCCATCTGTTCTTTCTTCTCTAAGACAGATATGTCCTGGAATTCTAAAGTTGAATCCCGGACGAAGCCAAGTCTCTTGAAGAGAGACTGCAAATGGTTTGTACCTATTCAATAAGAAAATTAGGTCACTTTTTTGCTATTAATACTCCGGCAATTCCATTGAATCACCAGAGACTGGTTTCGTGGATGGTCCTGACTGTCCATGAGTTAAAAAACTTTTTGAAGAAGCGGCATCGTTGGACGGTATTTTAATTAGGTTAGATTGTGAAAGGTACTGAATTATAGAAATGATGAGATCCTTTGTTACTATTTCTGATAGATCTTTGTAATTTTTGAGACAACCTGTAGAAAAGGAAGGAATGTTGCTGTAATCTTGGATAAGCTCTGCATGCGCTTTTTGATCATATCCCTTACTAGTATTTCTGGGACGACCTTTGGGTTTCGATAATACTGTTTTCCTATATGACTGTGTGTGACTCTTAGAAGG